ATCTGGACTGGAAGAGTGAAAAAGTGGACCAATTAAGTTTACATCATAGACTTTAACAGCTTTAATAATTACACATATTACATAAAGAATTTATTTATCTCCTTGCGTAAAATGTCGCTTTGCTGCAGCTTTATTATAATTGTTTAATATTAAAGATGGTAATGTCTTCAGTGTATTAACATGAAATCCAATGAACCCGAAAACCTAAAAGGCAAATATACCTCTGTTTCTATCCAAGTGCAAAAAATAAAAAAAATTCTGCTGTCTTTAATACAAATACTGACCTTTCCAGATAACCATGACGCTCTTATCTGACAGAAAGGGGCAATTGCAAAATTCTGAAATTATTTCATGGAAAGACTAACAAGACTGCAAACTGCAGAAGAGTACCCACAGGAAAGGAGTGATATTCAGGGGAGCAGGTCTCCCTGAGGGTGGCAGATAAAATTAAATAGTGGATTGTGGTGTTGTGGGCCAGGTATGAAAGGTCGTTGTGTGACAAAAGCTGCTCAAGGGATTTCACTGAGCAAAACATAAGGTCATGTTAAGTAACTGTGGGCCGGCGGCACCGAAGAGTGTTGTTCCTCAAACATGTGAAAGCGTCTCACTCATGAGCCTCAGTTTGCTCATTAGCAAATATTAGCATTTTATTACACCAAACTAAGATGCCATGTTAGCATTGTGAGCATATAATAACATACAGAAGTCAGCATTTAGCTCAAAGCATAAACTGAAGCGCTAATGCAGCTGTAGATAAATTGCTCTTGTTGAAATATCTTTGTCCCGTTCCTCAAGAGCTTCCCTTCCATAAAAGTTTTGAAAAATAAACAGATAAATAGACTCAATTCGGTTTATAGAAGATGGGACACCTCTGGGCTTGAGGGACTTTGGGGTTTCTCTGCAAAAAAAAAAAAGCTTTAAAATGTATGGAAGCCTACACTTAGAATCAATTTGACTTTAAACTCGCTTCATAATTGCATTTACTTTTTTGCAACTTCAATAAATCATAAAGTCCAACTACAAACTCTGAATTATAAGAAATACAATCTACTCTGTTCTGAAAAACCACCACTACATTAGCAGTGATAAAGTGTTGTGGTGTTATTGGATTCGACATGTGCACAGGTAGTATGTAGTACGGAGAAAAATGTTGCCATAAAAATGGGAATTTGTGAAATATATGTCCAACATTGCTGTGCTTTACTGTGTTGATATACAGTGTAAACATACGCATCTATCAGTAAAATGAAACATAAAAACTGTAAGCCATCATTTCAGCGCAAACATTACATCAAGCACAGGTGCTACGCTGCCTATCACCTCCCCTCCAAAGGCCCAGTGGCAGCTTTGCAAATACACAGTCTGGGGGTGTAGAGAAAATATATAAACATCCAGGCGCATTTTATACAGAACCACACTCCACTCAGTTTATGGCCTCGGTGGACTACAAGATCAACACACACATGTTAGACTGGGTTGTTTGAGGCCAACGCCTGAGGATCTAAAATACTCCCAAACTTGGCCAGAACACTGAAGAAAAAGCAGATGTTCACTGCTCTCACCAGCTGCTGTGGAGAACTTTGGAGAAGCTGGGCATCATTGTGTATTAGTGTTACAGACTCATCATCTCACATGAGTCTGGAACAGCCAGCTGTAGAGTATTTCACAAGTTATATCCTGTAATAAGACACAATACTTGAACCATATACATGTCTACATAAAATATATTCCATACTAAATACAACACAATATAGGCTTTTGCTTCCAAGACAGCAAAAGTCTAATGATGATTTTTAATGTTGACTCACAGACAAAGTAATATGCATAAGGAAAAAGAAAGACAGAATTTATGATTCTGGCGTCATTCAAGCCTTTCCAAAACAACAATGCCAACAGCCACCAGTCTTTTCAAAGCAGCAACTTTGCTAACAAATCTTGGTGTTTAACAAAACGTCGAGCTTGTAGTACCTGTCACTTCTGCAGAATTTACAAACTGCCTTGGGTAATTTCCTAGAAAACCCAATTCAACTTCCAGAAAAACTTGCATAATTTCATGCCAGTGGATATTAATGAAGTCTGCCAGGCACATTAGCTCATTAATAATATTGCAGATTAACCTATGATGAATTGGAAGACTGCACAATGGACTGTTCTGGCCCTGCTGTGACCAGTCTCTTATCTGACCTTTACAGATACAAGCAGCAGAAGACACGGGAGACACAGAGACCCTTGTGGGGCAGGACTAAGACAGCAGATGTCTCCCTCATAATGGAGAGGTCCATGGACCTTTTTACACTGTGTCAGTATCCAATAATAGATTATTTTAATTTCTACAGACACTTGAAGGAAAATTGGTCTTGAAAGCTTTAAAGGCTGGAAACACAGAGTTCTGTAGACTCGTAAAGCTGATTTTAACAGTGGTTTCTTCTGCACTGCCAAACGTAAGAGAAATCATAGGAGTGCATTTGATGTGTCGCCTGTCCATGAAGTATAGCTAAAACAGAAGAAACACTTGTGTCTTTTTATTGTGTTGTATTTAAATTGCAAGGGGTGAACCATATTTACAGGAACAATTAATGTACCATGTGAATGGAGATTCCATGACCCAGATTTGTTATTGTGCATAGGTGCATATAACATCAGTATAGTAGAATGAAGGGATTATAAGGTCAAAGACAGCGTTTCTTCCAATAGCCCAGAAAGATATGATGAGCATATAAACTCCCACCCTCCAAACTAAAAAAGAAAAACTGTACAGCCTCTCCAACCTCCCACTAGCACTGCATTAACATCAGTGTAAACAGCAATGGGGTGAGAAAGATGAATGCTCCCGTCGAGCTTCAAGGAACCCTCAAAGTTCCAAAAGGGAAAATCTAAACTAAAATGTAGTTTACTGTATAAATTATTTCCACAAAGTGAGACTCTGTGAACATGAGCACATCTTTCTCTAAAGCTTCAGTCAAGCTACAAACCTCGAGCATTGTTAAGTGAGAAAATATGGAACTGCAGCAAAAATAAAGCTGTGGTGGAAAGTAAGTAACTAGATTACACTTTTAGCTTCAATTCAAGGGGCGTAAGAACAAAATACAGCAAGTCTTTAGAAATTATGGAACTTTTAGTACATTTATGTACTTATTTTTTAGACAAACTAACCTAATTTTAATATTTAGGATTGTTTCTACACTCGGATTAAGAGAGAGTTAATGACCACCTGAGGAAAGAACACATGGACACCACCAGATCTCCTCCATTAGGATGACGCAGCCACCTTCAGTTGCTGCTTGTTTGTGGGTCTTTCACCTCTCTGCTTTGTATTTAATAACGAAAAAGCTACTTTCTTGGGTTGAGATCAGGTGACTGACTTTGCCATTAAAGAATAGCCAATTTCTTTGCCTTAAGAAACCCTTGAGTTGCTTTTGCAGTATCCTTTGGGTCATTATATAGCTGCACTGCAAAGTGGCATCCCATCAGTCCAATCAAGCCTAATTTGTCTGAATCTGAGCAGAGAATATAGCCTATACACTTCAGAATTCATCCTGTTCCTTCTATCCTAAGTCATAACATCAGTAAACAATAGTGACCCTGATCCACTGGCAGCCATACAAGCCTATGCTATAACATTGCCTCCACCATATGTGACAGATGATGTGGTATGCTCTGGATCATGAGCTGTCTCTCTCCTTCTCCGTGCTTTTCTCGGTGTATGTCTTTGGTTTTTATCGGGTTTACTTTTTTATATATGAATTTGTGTATTTTATAATTATTGCTTGCTTTAAATTTTGCTTTAACTTAAACCAAATTGTTATGAAGCTGAAAATATGTGCTAATGTAGAATCAGCCTTGCAAATTTGCCTGAAACATAAATGTAAATAAATCCGGTGACATCTCATCCTTAAAAACCAAGATGAGGTGGTGAATAGTGCACAAGTGGCTGGATGTTAAGAGCAATAAAAATATTAAATTTTTTTCGTTCTGCCTATAACATACTGCGTAATCATTAGTTTCGAGTGCAAATGTGGGCCACAGTCATCTGTTTTAGGATGCGTTTCACCTTAAACACAACATGAGACAGCACTGCTACTGAGAGCTGCTGAGCTGTGCTTCATATGGGACCATCAGCAGAACCGGTTCTCTCAAAAAAGCGCAAATGTAGCAAAGCTTTAGAGCTATTCATCTAGGTCAAGAGAATAAATGCAGTTGGTTACAATGAAACAAATTACAGAGTCATACTACCAGCAGAATCATGAAGTGACACAGAATAATAATTTTCAGCATTCTCCCATATCTCTTACTTTGCCTTCACACATTCAAAACATACACACAGGCTACAGCATGTTCCCTCAGTAATGCATCAGCTGTTCTTAGTACACAGGTTGGAGAGGGAAGATTAAAAAGGGAAAGCTTGGAGAAAACTGGGGGTGGAGATGTATGCTGAAAGAATTGTGGTCATTTGTAATGGTCACAGGGCACAATAAAGAATATAGCGGATGTTGCTCCACAGAAGATATTAACATAGTGACCTGCGTTTAGGGTTGTAGAACAGACGCTCTACAGTCAGCATTGTGCAGGTGTGTTTGCATGAATCTGCATTTCAGCATGTGCCTGTGCATTCAGAGTGAGGAGGGTCAGAGATACCTCAACGGGCGCAGTGTCTGAGTGAATAAAGATCATTATTGTAGAAATGGAGATGGAAAACCAGGAAATGGCAAAAGAGGAAATCTAAAAAAATAAATAAATTTTAAAAAAATGGGCACACTGGGAAAATAAGAAGAAAAAGGAAGAGTGATAAAAAAAAAAGTCTTATGTCCAGCAGACACAGTGTATCGTTTTTGATGATTATTTTTCTGTCATTTAATGACACTTTGATTGGGGGGTTTTCTAAGACAGGAAATGTGTAGGAGTTCAGTTTTTTGGTATACCAGTTTGCAAATTTAACAGATAATGAGGAAAAAATAAAAAAAATCAATTAGTGGTCAAAATTGTGTGTACGCTGTACTTACTCAGAATTAGCCATGATCCTGGGTGATGGAGGAGATAGAGATGTGGTGGAGGTTGTCAAAAGGTTTCCACTCACTTCTGTCTGTTTTAGTGCTGCAGGTCAACTTCCCACCTGAGAGATGCTGCTTTCATGCTGAACCCTGAGACGAATACATTCATTACAGTACAGTACATAAAGTATGCAAGTATCCTTTTTAACAACTTATGGATATAAGTGTAAATGTAGGTAAAATCGGCCACACCTCAAATTTCGAAATTGTGCACGCACACTGTTAAACACTCTAATAATGCCAGTTTTAACACTGTCACAATTTTAGTGCACTAATTTATTTACCGTTTACTTACTCTAAATTGTCGTCTTTCTTTAATGCCTTGGAAAAATTTGAAATTTGGCAGCTTGCTTCCAACACATAACTCGTGGCCAACACATTTTATTATAGTGATCTGACATTTGATAGTGTATCAAACTGGCTTTCCAAATTAAGCTTCTTCACAACATAGTGATAAATATCTGTTGTGCAAGCCCTGCAAGTTTTCAAAAGTGGCAATCAGATTATAATATTTACAAATATTAATAATCTGAAGTCTACATTTTGTGCGGTTATTTAAAAAAAAAAAGACTAGCAGAATCTCAAAAGAATGCACAGTAAAACTTGTGTAAAAGTAAACTTTTGCTCAGTCATAAAGCTTTTATCTTCTCTTCTCTCTCAAATATTTAGCACTCCAACAGAGTTGGAAGCATGTCAGACTTCCCACGCTCCATCAGAGTAATAATAGCACCTGATATAAACCTGCACTGATTCACTTGCTGTCATGAGAGAAACTAAATGACAGTTGTGTGTGCAACTACTAACAGATCCACTCTGCACTTACATGAATTATGTGGCACGAAGGACCTACCTGTGTGAGATTTACATTGTTGACGGGTAATTGTGCCTCCCGCTGCCCCCTTGCTGATAGAAATGTCTCTCTCGGCGGTGATCAATGTAAGTGAAGCAGCAGCAGGCTCGCACGGTGTGTAGGCTGCAGCTATCCTTAGCACTTTTGCATTGGACGAGCACCACCACCGCCGCCGTTGCTGCTGCTGCTGCTTCCGCTGCTCGGATTTCAGTGCAAAACCAAAGAGGGGCTGAAGCTCAAATGCAAGAAGCATCGTCACTCGGCAAGATCATATTAGCTGTAATTGTTATCAGAACGGTGAAATAACGGCCCTTTAAGTGCAGCCTCCTCCTCGCTGAGATTGATGAGGCTTGATCCAGATCCAGATCCAGGTTCCGCTCCCCAGCCGAGGGTTTCCCCGGCGAGCGCAGCGGGGAACCCTGCGAGGGGAGCTGTCCAGGTGCTGAAGCGAGCCCCGATGAAGCCTCGGGTCTCTAACGACCCCCTTCCACAGCTGCAGCCGGGCAACGCGAAGCGAATTTCATCCAAAGGCCACCAAAACATTGACGTTTTTGTTCCGTAGACTGACAGTAGCCATCGAATCGTGTGACATTTGCATCGCTCCGGTCACGACATAGCAGTCTAAAAATGTTGGCCGTGGGGTGGATGTGTGTGTGCGCGCGCGTGCGTGTGTATGTATGTATGTGTGAGAGAAAAAGAAAGCCTGAGAGTAATTTTTCTCAATTCCCGAATGAGGCCAATTTGAGAGCGGATTATCGCCCAGATGATTTTATTAGCTTTACGCCTGGTTGGTCGTCCCTCTCCGTGTCATGAGCGTTTTTTATGGTTTCCCAAAATAAAGATACTATGGGAATATAAATTGCCTTTACAGCAATTGGCTTAACCGTTTGTCATTCATCGGGATTAGCCAGTCGATGGTTAAAGCGCACATCAATCAGACTGAAGCGTCTCTTCCTTTATTTAAACACGCCTGGACGTGGGCTGCTGGAGATGTTATAGGCTGAGGCGCAATTTCAGGGTGTGCGCAAAAAACGAAAACCGGTGATCTAAATTAACTGTAGTTAGCCTGTAGTTACAACCGAAGACGGATGCTTAGCACCCAGTGGGCTCAAAGGCTGTCTTTCAAAGATTCACAGTGCGTTCAAAAATAGTGGGTTTAACAAAACAAGATAACAGATATCTATTTATATTGTTTTTGGGTGTGATTTATTGAGATGAGCAAAAGAGATATGATTTGGCACATTTAGAAAAGTACTTCAACACCAAAACAAGTTTGTTCATTAAGCCATTTAGATTCAGTTTAATTTCTTCTCCAAAAACGATTAAAGATGGGGAAAATGAACAAAAAGAGAAACACATCAACTAAGCTGCAAATAAAATCTTTCAAAAAGTAAAAAATAATGTACATTTCTTGAAAACATCCACTTTTTGCTACAATCATTGCAGTTTTTACAGAAAACGTAAGCCATTTTTCAACATACAACTACCTGACAAACACATTATAACTTGGAAATTGCACCTTTATCTCAGTTTTTTTTTTTTTCAAAGCAACCAGAGAATGTATTAAAAGACAGGGCCATCTGAGGAAAAAGCCAAGATGTGTATAACATTACAGCATCCTAAAGTATTGTACAATTCTGACAGCTTTTCACATTTCTTCAATTATTTCCAACCATCAACACCTGCTTTATAAAGTCAGAAAGTGCAGGAGAGCCAATACTAAAAGTAAGTAGGTGTCACTTGCACACCCAACAGGGCAGCTATTTGGTCCCATTCTCTAGGAGCTTAGTTAGCTGATGTGACTTTAAGCCCAACAGTTGGGAGCAGGTAGTAGCAGATGTAACTTAGGGTGGGTGGGTGGGTGGGGGGGAGACAAACTGTATTTTCTGGACCCAATTCAATAATTGTGAAACCTATCAGTATGAACTTGTAGGCTACAGTGGCGTGTACATTATCCATTGGTAAGACATATGTGTAAAACCATGGCTGGATGTTTTGAGGAAGGCCCAGAGTCATCACATGAATTAAAAGTGCATTTGCAGAATCATGAATATTAAAGTGCCCCAATTATACCCCAAGTTTTTTAGTTTGTTTGTCTTTTTATGTATATAATGGTTTTCAAAGTTACCGGGAGTTACACGTTCCCATAGAAAACACTCCTACTGAACTTCCTGAAACTTCTCCTTTGCAGGCCAGGCTTTCTTCAGTGACTTATCTATCACTATGGAGCACAGTGACACAGTACCAGCCTGGCTGTCTGACCCAGCTAAGCTAACCATGAGCAAAGTGCACCAAATGATCCAATGATGGCTACAAATCCCAAAAAGATTAAATCCTTTCCATATTTTTTCTGGTTGTGCTGCCATATAACAAAAGTGAATATGAAAGTGTGATGCAAACAGAGCCCATCAAGTAAAGTAGGAATTCTCAAAGTAATTTTCAGCTAGTCGTACTGCACTGCTAAAATACTGATGCTATAGCAGCAATTTGAAAAAGAAAAAAAAAGCATTTACATACGCAAGTTACAGAAAACAGATGTGTTGTGATTTCAGTTATTTACATATAAAATGATCATTCACAAAGAATGTCAGAACCTCTTCATAATGTGGCTAATACTTTATGTTGCTCTGTGTGTACTAAGCACGCCCTCACGTTCATAGTGCCATCTGACCAATCAGGACCATCTGGGATTCTCCTAACAAACTATTAAAGATATGAGGTAAGAAACAGTTCTGCAGCACTTCATAGTGCATGTGAGCCAATTCCTTCAGATACAAAGTAAACATTCCAGTTCCTAAGTGAGCATAATAGGGGCCCTTTTTCTTGCATTTTATTAAATGTGCTATATCACATTCTTCCGAGTTTGTATTGTTATGTTTGAACTGTATGAATGCACTGGTTTTAATATAAAGCCTGGGTTTCCACACAGTCTCCAAGGGATACTATGCCACATGCTGCCATTACACTGAGGGTTAAAAAGATTACTGTTCGTCTTTATGAGTAGAAATAGTGACAGCGATATTCTTCTATGCTGTACCGTTACTCTGTACACAATGTTTGTTGCTCTCGACTGCTGTTACAAACAAAAGCATGACGTGTCATCTTTCATCCTGTGTGTTGACCGTTGCTGCGGGACATTCAGCCTAGATGGACCAGGGTCATGACAGTAGTGTACTCGTGCTGCAGGTTGTCCGTGTCAGTGTCACACAGCGTGTAGTCATCTTTTATGATTCGGTCGCAGCCAATCTCGCCGTTTCCAAACAGCCCAAAGAGCGGGGTGTTGGGGAACACCTTGCGGAAAGCATCTGCCTCGACATTGCTCTGGTTGTTGTAGTAGTTCTGGCCTCTCCCCACGCAGGCAAACATAAATCCCAGGGTGTTTTTCTCTGGAATTTTGGCTGCCTTTAGTCGTCGGATTGTGGCTTCAGCCGCTTTTGCGCTGATGACGTCTTCCTCCAACAGCACAGACGCCCCCTGAACTTTAGGCCCACTCAGGGCCAGGCCTATCACACCATATGAACCCTGGCTACAGCTACAGAGTGAGAGATCATGGAAAGTGTGAGTATTGTAGAGTGCATACTGAAAAGGCTATTCATAATTTACCTCAGACACTACCAGTTAATTATCAAAATCAATTACATCCTATTGGTAGTGAGATAAAGGAGATACCCAATAGAGAAATATAGATGTCAAACTTCTGTTTTGAACAGCTAATATTTACCCTGAAGCAGTAGATCGTGATTGTTGTCTCTGAGTGGGGGCAGTCAATTATACTCTTGTATTTTTCCACATACAGACTGAAATACCATTTGATAAACTACCACAGGATCAGACCAAAAATATTTGCAGGAAATCCACTACTACATTTACCCCATAAAATATCTAGTTTACACTCGGGAAATTAACTCACCAGTATCTGGAAGGAGCGAAGGCATTCTCTACCAACCCTCCAGCAATCAGAGCTTTGGTCTTCGAAAGCGGCTCTAGTATCTGGTTAAGGAAGCGTGCGCCTCCTGGTTTATATGCCTCATAGAAGAAAATCAGTATCACACGTAGCTCTGGGTTGTCAACTAGTCCTGGAAAGAAATAACAAAACAAAACATTAAAGATTTTATTGAAGTTTATATTATTGAATACCTAACAAGCAGGTAGTCGATGCTTACCTGCTTCTTTAAGGGCTGTCGGGGAGATGGTTCTCTTACAAAAGTGAAAAGGCTGGATCTGGACACCCTCAATAGCTGGAAGCATGATTGCAAAGCCAGCTCCCCCATCTTGGTACTCCTGGGGAGGGTTGCCGCAAGAGCCGCTGGGTGTCACTGTACAGAGAGCCAATCATGAAGCACCATAAAAGTATAAGTTTTTATGCATGTTTTAATGGATTATTTGTTAACCAGCATCAGCAGCATTGTTTATCCTTATACTTAGTTATAGATGTACTGAAAACTCAAATGTTTAAAAAAGAAAAAAAATATTGAGCAGAGGTATGACACAAGAGAAAACCAGTGGTGACCTACTAATGAAGGAAACAACCCTTAAAGCTTTACAGTTTTTGACAATTGATATTACCATCAATAGAACCAAAGAAGAAATTAACTAAAGCCACCTCAAGGAAATTCTCTTTCATTTTTCATTTGAAGTGAGAAGTTCACCAAATGTATCTAAAGTTTCAAAGAGTCACCATCTAGTGGCTATGAGAGGAACTGCAGCTGGTAGTGGATTCAGCACTGAACTGGGTGTGTGCTACAGGGGTGAGAACCGTTTTAAACATAGAACCAAACCAACAAAAATTTATTTCAAAAACTTTGATTTAAAAAACATGAATCAAAGGGACATGTGGATGTGTTTCCATGCAAATACATGACGTTGTGCTGCCATAAATGCACAGGAACACTACACAAAGAGGAATACTCATTCACCAATCCTAAAAAATTTTTTTAGTGCTGCTGAGCAAAACAAACGGTGTATGAGCTCAGTTGTACATCACAGAAACCCTTTCAGCATTTCGAACAGAAAGCAAACAAATTTCTTCACCATGCACTTTACCCTGATCTTCTATTGCGTTACAAACAGTATTCATAAAGAATGAAAGAATACTGCATGTGTCATCTCTGTAATTCATACAATCAGCATCTTTATCAATACGGATAAATAACTAGCTGTAATCTGGGCAGTGTTACTACACAAACTCTCAGCCTTATCTGATTAAAGATCTAATTTAGTTGAATTAGCTGGGCGTGTTGACCCTGTGGTGACCTTAGGCTACTATATCACAAAATGCGAGTGTTATCACAAACGGCTGAGGCTTCCATTAAACCTGATAGACGATGGGAGCCTGATAAGCCATCATCTTGAGGAAAGAGAACATGGCTGATGGAGTGTCACTTCTGCAGAGGGTTGTGATTATATAGAGAAATGGGGAGCACAGCATCAGGCAGACTAGGCAATCTATCAGAGAGAGAGGCACAGAGATGCAAGCCACCAGTGGTACTTTCTAACTAGGCAGCAGTGGTGGGGATTAATGCAAGTCCTCCCTGCTGATATATGAAGTATTCTCCTTGAATATGCTTGAAAAGTGGTTAGCTTTCATATTTAGAGCATGGTAGTATATTAACCAAAAGCCACATTTGTATCATGATAGCTTTGAAACTCATTAAAAATAATAGTGTTTTATATCAAATCACATGATTTATTTTGGTTTGAGGGGGAAATTTTATTTTCTTCCTCATAAATGAAGAAATATGAGAGACAGAAATAAGGAACACTTACAGACTATTCCTGGTGTAGCAACGCCCATGACATCACAGCCTCTGGGGAAGAGCTCGTTCAGTTCTGCGTCGAGACTGTTGCGACTCTTTTTTGCTTCAGTGGGGAAAAAAAACATGTTAATGAGAAGAAAGGCCACACAAGTGTACTACCGTGGAAACATTTTACGTTGTGATCAATACCATTAGGGCAGCATGTGATATATGTCCATTTTGTTTTATAGCATGACGATTCCAAACATACAGTCTGAATGACAAAGCATTAGCCATAGCAACAAAGTGGACTAAGAGTCTCCATGTCCACAACTGCTCTGCTGCAGGGCTCTTTGCCCACCTTGTTGTTCAAAACTTTTGGGGATCTGGGTTTTGGTTTTGGAATTTTCTTTCACTATATTTACACTGTACAGACTTTACTTATTCTTTTAAAAGCAACTGAAGACATTTTTTATTTATACAGATAAGATTTTGACTCGCTGGTTTATGTTTTATTCTATTATGCTTTATATTGTTTTTGATATGGCTTTTTATTTTTCACACTTCATCGTAAACAAGTCCTGACTTGTGTCCAGTTTGTTTGACACCGCTGAAATTGCTCCTTAATAGTACACAGATTATAAACTGACTAGTCTATTAATATTATTTAGAATATCCCATCATAAAATGAATTTTTGATTTGACTAAATAATAAACAATACGAAAACACTACGGATGCCATATAAGTGACACATCGTATACTACCATTTACAGGAGTGTGCACAGAGCCTGAGGAAAAAAAGCCTTGGTTAACAAAGATAAGTAAGCATCAAAGTAGTTGTCCTCTCTAAGATCCAGTCACACAGCACACATTTTTCCCCTAGTGACCACCACCTGCTAATGAAAACTGTGTATTCCCCAACCAGTTGCAAGTAGTTGTGGGAGACTGCTAGCAGTCACTAAAAAAAAACAAAAAAAAAAAACAAATCAAGTCTTTAAAGCCTTGTTCATGGCGGCCAAGAGACGAGTCAGTCAGTGACCCCCTCCTGATAACCAGCAGTCACCAGTGAAATAATGTATTCCACAACTAGTTGGTGAATGGTTGCTGAAAGTTCTTGACACTCGCTATCATAAAATTGGCCACAAAGAAGTTAACAGCTCTGCTCCAAAAACCTTGTTGTAATTGTTCTGGTGACTAGCAGGTTACTGTAGTCGCAGTAGTAGTAGTTTGCATAGAAGACGAAGACTTGTCTATCAGAATTTCCAAAATACTTACCAGGCAGTAGTGAAACTGTAACACAAACCATAAAAAGAAATGCTTTTCTCTGTTAAAGTCAGTTTTCATTGGTTTCAGGGGTAATGCACAACTTCCATGCAAACTAGGGCAATCACAACAAGGTTTGTGGTGCAATTTCACCCAGTGAGTGCAAGCAATCACACGCCAACCTGTTGTGGAATACACAGTTTTTCCCTATGGACGGGAAAGGTTGCCATTGGCATCAAGCGATCTCTAGGCCTGTGTGACTAATGGGGGAGGAGACAGAAGATAGTGGACCTAAATCCATAAAAGAACTGTAATTAAGTTATCTAAGATGCTTTGAACAGCTTCATTTGAGAAACTGGGCAGGTTTTTCACCCTCCAAAAACTGTTCAGGGTGCAACAGTTTTAAAGTTTTCTAAAATTCAAATAACAATGTTCTCTGTATGCTCTCTTCAAACAAACGCTTCTAAAAAACATGTGCAACGTTGTCTATATGGATAGAATAGGTGCACCTCAAATATAATTTCAAGGAAGTATGGCAGGTAATTAAAGATGCCAAACAAACACTAGCCTGCAAATGTTTATACAAACAGACTTACTGTTACAAAATGACACTAAAATAAGCTCTTATTAGAAGTACTTATTTATAGAATATGTTGTAAAGACACTTCTGCTTTCCTAGAGGATTATGCATTTGCACCTTGCAGTTAAGTCAATAATAATGTATGAGAGAGTTGTGCCTTAAGGGAAGTATACAGTTTACAAAAGAAATATATGTTATACCAACCTTTGTTCTGTTTGTAGCAAAAGGCTCCTCCATTGAGGATCTCAGAGTCTGCCATTACCAGAACTGTTTTAGGCAGCAGGTATACTTTCTGTAAAATAATTTGAATTAGAGTTTTTAGAAAAAAAACAGTTCCTGATCATACCCTCCTGAGAACCAAACAATAAAGTCTCTTTTAGCTTAACTTTTTTTTGTGGTATCTTGCCTCTTTGGAGCTAAAAGAGGTTACACAAGCACATGAGATATCATTGGAAAGGCCACGATGTCCTCTATTCAGTACATCAGGACATAGTAGGGTAGTTCAAATAAGTCAAAAGATATAGACCAAAAACAACCCTCCATTACAGAGAACATAAGTGAATAGGCTGGGTCTCAGGAGGATATGTATAACACAAAGTTCATATCATAGCAATCTTAGTAGCATAAAGGCTACATATCTTTTGAGATTCTCCACTTCAACTTGAAATCTTTAATACTGCTTGCACGTGCGCATTTGTGATGCTCTTTGGATTTTCTCCATTGTGTCAAAAATGCAACCCTATAACTTAAATTCTATGTTGGGGTTGAGGATGAAGTTGTAAGTAGCCAAATCTATCAGGTAAGGTGACCACAGTTCAGATTGTTTGGAGCAAATGTTCTCCCTGAGACACCTCTGGACGTTACAGAGAAATTCTCTGAGGTATGCATAATAAGGAAGATTCCTGGCTTGATGCAACACCTTTTTGCTTAAAGACAGCAGGGTGTTCCAGGGAGGACAGCAGGTTGGTGCCTGCTTATAGCAAGAGATCTAGCTCGCACCAATGTGACAAGAAAGGAGGGGGTGGAGTCAGTTTGATACAGATGTTAATGTACGGCCTTTATACAAGTGTGAGGCCCATGGTGAACTCTGGGGAAGCGTTTGAAATAAAGCTGAACAGCTTTGCAGTGGATAGCTGGCAAATTTTTTGCGCGATGGATAGCTTACTCAAGGAGTGGGTAGCATATAGGGTACTGGTATGCTGTTTTAAAACTATTAACCAAGAGCTGTCTACTCACATTTATCTTTAACGTTTTCATTTAGTGTCACTAATTATTTAAATACCATTCTATGAGAGTTTTAAAGTTTACCTCCACTTCTTCGGCCAAGATGCTATTGAGGGCATGGGACTCTGTGCTGGGATGTCCAGAGGCCGACACCCAGGTCAGCTGTTGCTGAGTCCTAAGCACTCTGCGAGCACAGTTTCTCCAGAGTCTGCACACACTGAAAGGGTAAAAGATAAACTCAGTCTCACTTGCTGACCAGGTACAATCGCTTAGTTAAAAAAGAAAAACAGAAAAGAAAGACTCAGCTCGTCTTTATATCCAGGCAGAGTAGCTGAAAGCAAGCCCTTGATTACAGTCCAACAGACAATAACAACCGCTAGGCTAGCTGCTGCTTTAGCTCTTCCGTAAGTTTTTGCGTCGGAGTTTCACTTCTATCGGCGGCCATTAGCGTTAGCTCACAGTGATGCGTACAAAGATCAGCCACCTACCTCGCGAGCTGGAGAAGCGATTTGGTTGGTATGAACGTAAGAATCCTCTCAACCACTTCCGCAACATTGCTGAGTACGTACTCAGCCTTAGAATCCGGAAAAAAATCAACAAAATCTGAGTTCTCGCTCATGTTTCGCTCTGTAGTCGTGAGACTCACAACACAGACTCCAACTACGAACTTCGACCCCTGCACTCCCACCGCTGCAGAGGGATAGCCTGTTTATTGGCGCCTCCCTGCGGCGAGGAGGAACTATAGCAGTTAAGGCACCCCTACAGGCACGTGAAAATCTTTCACTTTGATCCAACACATAATCAAACCTTAAATAATTGGATGATAAAGATGATTTAATTTATTTTTATTAAAGGTACAATTCGGGCATTTTCATCTCTAGACCCATATGCCTTTGGATGAGAGCTGCAACAACAAGTTTAGGGAGGTCCAGTTGCCTTTCCCCCCCCCCAAGCTAGAAAAGTTTAATCTTGTGTTTGTCTTTGGATGTTGAGATGGCATCAAGAAAAAAAATTTTTTTTAACACTACTATGCAAATTTCTTGAGTAACCCTTTATTTCTTTAAATTTTGCTAGGAAAATGAGAAACAGTCTGAACTCTTGTATGTAAACTTTCTTGAAGTGGTTTTCAGAGTTCTCCAGGTTTCTTGATGATCCCACACTTCTTCAATAATGTTCAAGTCCAGGTTCTGAGGATTCATCACTCCCCAAGACCTTGACTCCTTGGAAGCAGGCAGTCAAGGTCTTGGGGGAAACTCAAGCTTCTTTCTTCCAAGAACAATTAACAATTGCAACAGCCAGGTTGATTCGCATATTTATTTATGATTTGTACATCTCCAAGATAAAAAACAAAAATCAGTGTTTCAAAAAGAAAACACCTACATAGATAAGTACGCCACAACTATTTAGTTTGCTTAGTTGAAACAATATAATGAGTTTCGCTACTGTGCTAAGAATTCCTTCCTTGCTAAACTGGAAGAGAATATCACTGACAGTGAATACATTTTTACAATACAAAAAGAAACTAACACATAAGCAACTTTACAAAAGTACACATAATAAAAGTCCCTTTCATAACCTTGGCTTAAATTATGGCTTCATTCATGACGATCATGTGCAGTATATTCCCCAAAAAAGTGCAAATTCCCCACACGTACATGTAAACAATTAAAGATGTACAGTAAACTTTAAATGACCTTTGACTACAGTGCGTAAAGGAAACTGTAGATGAGCTTCTAACTTGCGCAGAGCTTGTGTCTTCAAGATGCCACGGTCAGAGGAGACAAACACAAGCTCCAGCTTTGCGTGTAGCAGTCAGTCATATGGGAGCCAGCCATATTCAGAGCAGATGAGGCAATGTGAGGAGGGGAACAGAGCTAGGTCAAATGTTAACCATCTCCATTAGAGTATGATCCAGCATCTGCTTTATGCTCAGGCCCTCTTCTTTAGCACGTGTGAGTTTATCTGTTAATATAGCATTGCATCAGTTAAAATCCAAAAAAAGAAAGAAAAACAGTTGCAAGAGACACAGAATATAGTCAGACAAAGGTTTACCTCAGGTACAGTGACAAACATATGCTGGATATCGTTACATACCCCAGTATATATATTTTTTTCCAGTAAGAGGTCAGCACTTATTAGCGGAGTCGATATCCTCAAGTTATTTAGATTTTCTGATATAACTAATCAGATTTGAACTTTTATTTAAAGTATACTAGAAATAGTAAAAACTCACACTATTGACAGGGCTGTGGTCAAGAATGGACGTGGTGAGTTTATGCAAGGGGGGGAAAAAAAAAAAGCTTTCCTTTTTTGTAATATATGATTTGGCAGTGGAATTGACCAAAGTATAAAACCCTAGCACTTTTGAGGAAAAAACTGAAAACTCTTCTAAGCACTAATAATTGTCTCCTTTTACTATTGGACCAGTATCACTTTACTTTTATTGTATATGCACACTCCACGTCCTTTTTTCTTCCCCATTCACTTAGACAAATTACTGACAGATCATACAGGAATACTGTGCAATCTGTTATTCACATCTTCCTTACCGCCAACACTTCCTTGTTGCTACAGGTGAATCATATGATCAATCTCCTCCTGTGCTACGATTAACAAACAGTTCGCCGCTAAATAAAACTGCACACCTTTTCTTTGAAGTTCTCTTTATCCAGCTACACTGTTTTGGCTTAAGCTGCTATGTCCTGAGGATATATAATGAAACTAAATGTTGCTTGCCTTGCTTTAAGCATCACAAGGCAAGCAACATCTTGCCTTGTGATGCTTAAAGCGCCCCAAAATAAACATTGGGAAAAATTCAGCTGGAATGTTTCTTTCCTGAAGTCACAACCCAATTATTTGGCACTTTTAGCATCGCAAGGTGAGCACCATGTAGTTTTATTATATTCTTGGAGAAGGCAGACATCTCTACAGATAACTATGAGGTTTGTGGGAACAGTTCCCAACAAAGCACTTCGCTCTCAGACTGCAGGCTTACTTGTTGTTCCTAGAATTTCTAAAAGTAGAATGGGAGACAGAGCCTTCAGATATCTGGCTCCTTTCCTATCAAATGAGCTCCCAGTTGAAGTTTGGGAAAAAAAACTCTTTACTTTTAAGATTACATTTGAAAAACAAAATTATTTTGAATAAAGCTTTAGTTATTTATACTGCTACAAGTTAAGGCTGCTGGAGGACGTCCAATGACGCACTCAGGATTTCTTCACTTCCCTCTTCACCCCTGATGCATTTACATGCCACTATTGTATACCATTATTTTTCCATTTAGTCTCTCTTGGTGCGTTTAGTCATCTTTCTCCTCACACCCCAACCAATCACAGTATGCTGCCATCCTCCCCAAGATCTCCCTGTTAAAAGACAGTTCCTTTTCCCTATTGTCACAGAGTGCTTCCTCAAAGGGAATTGTTTGATTGTTGGGGTTTCCCTCTAATCTTCAGGGCCTTTACATTATAATATTTAGTGCTTTAGGTGACTGCTGCTGTAAACTAGTGCTACATAATTGAATTTATTAAATTATTGCAATTCATAATTAAAATGTGAATGCTTCGCTGAAATGCTACAAGTAAAAACTACACACCTGTCCAACCATCCATCTCACCCAAGTACAAAAAGGAAAATCTGGGTATAATCCAAGTAATTTTAAAAGTGATGATATTTGTTCAGTCCATTGCAATATTCCAAGGCCTCCTTTTCATGGATAGAAGCACATATTGCAGACCAGATTTCAATTATGTAGCCCTGACAATAACTGAGAAAATATATCAACTGAATTTCGTCCCTCTCCTGAACCTGTGTAACCTTCCACTTGAAGCAGTTATTGGAACATGCATGTGAAAATCTCTCACTTGTATTCCCACTTTTTTGAAAGTGTAACTTGTTTTGTTTTTAAGACATAACTGCTGCTGTGTATAGTTATTTAAATAAACAGTACAACAACATTCCTGGTGACTGGAATTTCAGAAACATTAAAGCATACAAGATTCCCTTCCAGTTTATGCCTCGTTTAGAGCTACTCTCAGTTCATTGGTGAGAAGACGATTTTTCTCAAGCTGCTTGTATAGGTGGTCTTGACAGTCAGAAAGCAGGTAGGAGAAAAAGGAAAGACAAAGAAAGGAGGTTAGTATAAAGAGTGACGCTTTGAAGGTAATCACAAAATAAGTTTGTTGATTTCCTGACCTAATGAACACAGAAGGCTCAAGAAATGTGTTTTGGTTTTTTTAAAGACAGTCATAAGCCTGCCATCTTGGCTAACCACAGAAAACTCACACACTACTGGTTTTACAAACACCGTTTCCTTTTCACTGCTTATTAATTACTTAGACTAGAATGATAAGACTGCAACCACCTTGGGATTAGTTAGGGGACAAAACAACACACACTCACAAATAGAAAAATAATGATGATGCACATGTTTGTACTGGATCTTTTTGCATCTAGCTGCAGCAGCCACTTTCAATCACCAGAGAACTGCAGAGGTCACCTGATGGGAGTTAACCTGGTCCAACTGACTGCAGACAGTTTGTGCAGCCTGTACCAATGAACACATCTTATCTGCGCAACAATGTCACCTCATTGAAGCAGTGGACTTGACTCAACCGGTTGGCACCTAGTTGAACTCTGTATATTCCTATATAAAAAGGGAACATTGCAGAGCATGTAATTCTACAGTTAAATTGCCATTCTGTAGCAACTATGTCACCATTTGTGGGGAATTTTCTATTTCTACTTTAAATCTATGAGGTTTGATCTGCATGCAATTAGTTCATGTGAACTACTGTGACTATGACATAAGACATTTGGGCCACCCCAAACAGCCTTACAATTTTGTGGTCAATCCCATTCGAGTTTCAATAGATTTAATTTAGCAAGTGAAACTAAACAAATCTTATCCTACTCAATTGTTTATAATTTACAGTCGCATTTCTCTGCTATAGCCCCTGTGACTGTATTAGCATTCTTTAAATTAAAGAATTAAAAATAAATAAAATAAATAAATAAAATAAAATAAAATAAAATAAAAAATCTATAGTAGTAGTTTTAGTGACCATGTCTGCCAATACTGGCTTGGAGTCTAGTTGATTTGCTATTTAGACCTACAATATGAGGAGTGTTTATTTTTTGGTTTTATTTTTTTGGCTACGTTCACATCTGCAAACACTCAATGAGTATTGAAAATGTTAACTTGCCATTTCTAAAGTACATCAACTGCATTTAACTACAGCTGAATCTGAAGGTGTGAGGAAGCCTTAAAACAATAAAATATAACTAAAGATATAAAAAAAATATTTTTAAAAAAAAGTATATAAAATCCCCAATCAGCTAACTAAAAAATTGAATACAATTCACTGCCACTACAAGTAACTCAGGAGTTTATTCAAAAGCTACTAAACAGTATAAATTAAAACACAAAGAAGGTAAAACAATAACAAAAAAGGACAAATGGAAATGAAGCATTGCAAGAGAAAAAGAAAAGGATGACATAGATGGAAAAATGTTTATTTTATATAAAGCAATGTGGCTCAAAGGTCTGAAAGACAGATGGACAAATGTACTCCAGCAGCCAAGGCCCAATGTGCAGTACTGCCAGGGCAGTAAAGAAATAAATAGACAAAGGAGACAGAAAGTAGGGCTGTGCTGCACAGGAGAGAAAGGATGATGCTCAAGCAGCTTCTGGAGTGAAGAGTGTGAGAATTTAGCTGTGAACAAAAACAAAAGAACAAAAATGTTGGAGGGAGAAATAAAAGAATGAAAACATATGACATGAGAGAAAAAAATGGATGCAGAACTAAGAGAACTGAGACAGGGAACAAGCTCTACTAAGTAAGCACTCATGTTAAAAGGTCTGCAAAAAAATTGTATTAAAATATATTTTTAAAAAAAAAAAGAAATCAAACATGATTAGGTCACTCATAAATTAGTGTTAGACAAGCACGGAAGGATTTAAAGTTGTAGTTTAGCAAAGTTAAAAAGTCACGGCACTCAAACATGCCACAAGAGGGCGCTACTGTATGTTGTCGCTGTGGTTAAGGAGATAAAGCTCTAAGACAGTACGGAAACAAGCGTGTTGTGAATTACATGGAAGTCATGTCGTTGAGGGCGTGGTCCAGCTCCTCGCTGATGGCCTTGTACTTCAGTTTCTGGGCATACAGCTCATCTATAGAGTTGTAATTATTATAGAGTGGCAGTGAGGGGGCAGTGAACAGAAAAATAACAGCGTCAAGAAATGAAAGCCAAAAGAAAATGCAAACTGAGGAACTGAAATAAAAAGGCAGGACAGAAATAGGAAGGAACATGAACAGCTGCTGACACAGTGTCAAATTCCTGAGGAGTCACCGAGAAACTGCCTCACATGTTCCGTGACCCTGTGAACACTTCTCGGGGCTAGCTGGCCTTGAACGCTCAATACACCACCATGCCAAACTGCACTGCAGTGAGAAATATTGATGCCAACATGAATCATATATGGCAGGTTCTGCTTATTAGTTTTGTTTTTCTTCTGGCAGACAACTGACAGTGTAGATATTTGTCCTGGGGATTATTTAACAACCTGCTGACCAGATAAATACCTCAAACAGCCCCACATGAGAGATTTGCCTTTTATTAGTTTCCCTTTCAGAAACCAGGACTCTACTTTAGACGAAGACTTGTCACTGGGTTGCTTTTTGCATCAATACATTTTGTAATAAGAGTAACAGATGTTTGCTTATATGGAAAATGAACATGAAATGCTGCACCAAAGACTAAAAACCAAGTGTAAAACATTCATACCCTCAAGGTCATCAATGGTCTTCTCCAGCTTGGCAACTGATCTCTCAGCGAACTCGGCACGGGTCTCAGCCTATGTGGAGGACAGCAATAAAACATTGGTAATGTAAACCTCCTAATGGAAATTAATAACCACAGCCCCAGAGGAAAGGAAGCCCTTAAGTATGAGTAAAAAATATATACACACACACAGCATATTTATTCAATTAAGTAATGCAATCGATTCAATCTTCAGTTTCAAGAGAAGCTTCTATTTAAAATTTAATTTAGGATACATAAACGTATGACTCACTGATAACTCTAACTCACCTCCTTTAGCTTGTCTGTCAGGACCTTGATCTCCTCCTCGTACTTGTCCTCCTTCTGCGAGTACTGTGGTTACATACACAGGGCAGAGTCACTCAAATATACAAAACATGAAAATGCAACAAAAATAAGTTTCAAACAAACTTTATAGGTTTATAATATGAATATTTGTCAATAATCTTACCTTTTCTGCCTGGGCCTCCAGAGACTTCAGGTTGTTCTGCACAGTTTTCAGCTCCTCCTCAAGCTCAGAGCATTTGCTGCAGAGTTATGGTGTGATTAAACACGTAGAGAAAAACCACAGAAAGCAAGAGAGGTGTGAGGAAAATGTGATCATTACCTCTCAGACAGCTCAGCACGCTCTTCTGTACGTTCCAAGTCACCCTCAATGATCACCAGCTTACGGGCAACCTGAAGTCACAACTCCTTAAGTTTAGTCCCACACTAGCTTAACACATTAGTGCATCCTATACTGGTCAGACATGTCAAGCATTGCATCAAAGTAAATAACTGAACAATTGTCAAAGTTCAGGGTGCACTGAACAGCTGAGAAACTCGCCTCCTCATATTTGCGGTCAGCCTCCTCAGCGATGTGTTTGGCCTCCTTCAGCTGGATCTCCTGCAGCTCCATCTTCTCCTCATCCTTCATTGCCCTGTTCTCAATGACCTTCATGCCTCTGAGGGAAGGGAAGTGGTATAAGGTGAGTCTTAGTAATGTTTACACTATGCGTCATAGAGGAACAGGAAATTCCACTCTTAAAAGAAACATTTAGTGCAAAGCATATGGATCATACCAATACCTTGTATTAGTGAAGTAGAGATAAAATTAGAGAGAGAGAGAGAGAGAGAGAGACCACTACATGACTATATGGACAAAGTGTCTAAATACCTAACACACATCCTCATCTGTCATGTTGTGCCAAGCACATGGCAACTGTCTGAGAGGATAAGGATGAATTGAATACCAAATGAAGCACAACACAAAATCATGGGCATGAACCGGAATAACGTTCTATTAAATTTCCACAGGTGTGGATTAGCCACTGATCAGGAGCTATGCATTTTCAATCATAAAGAAACCGTAACCATCTCAATATTATAATATTACACAAAGCAACAATTAAATTAAATGCAATTATTTAAATACCTGCACATTTGTGAAGAGTGATACAATACAACTTCAAGCCACCGGTGGCAGCAGTGAGCCCAATCTTAAGTGACACTCAAAGAGCATATGTCATGTGCAAATGTTTGGTTTTATAATATAATAAAGTTTAGCAAAATCCAGTATTAAAGCACTTGATAGAACTTAAATTTCCATTTATGTTTAATGCTTTTAACTCACCTGTTCTCAGCTGCATTTGAATAAAGCACCAAATCCACACTGTTTAACTTTTAAGCTTAAATTTCAGAACTTACATTTTAACTACTGATTTTATCTACCTTTCCTTCCTCTTTTTTCCAGTTTAAATCATGCTTTCTGTTTTTTAATGTCTCTGTAAAGCACTTTGAATCACCTTGCTGTTGAATTGTGCTATATAAATAAACTTGCCTTGCCTTTTAAAAGTTAGCAACAACAAGAGACTCAACGCAGGATTTTCTTTTCCGAGCTTGTCTTAACCCTTCTTTGTCACCCTTTTTCCATTACAGTACTCTGCAAATGAGTATGAATAATATAAGAGGGGTGGCCGTTTAGTGCCAGTTTTCCAGATGCAAAATACCCACCTCTCGCTCTCATCAGCAGCCTTCTCAGCCTCCTCCAGCTTGGTCAGAGCTGTGGCCAGACGCTCCTGAGCACGGTCCAACTCCTCCTCAACCAGCTGGATACGTCTGTTCAGGGAAGCTACATCACCCTCAGCCTAGGAGAGCACAACACCAGTCATCTACAGGCACAACAAGTTTATTCATTTAACTGAAATTCGTGTGTTATGTTTGGCTCTGCAGGCTTTCAGCTGCTGTGAGATCTTAGGCAGATAAAATAACTCATGCTCTCCCTGGAGAGATTGGCCTGGGTCAGCTTGTCCAATAGAGGGATGCAGGTTGTTTATGTACATTTTCCAACACCAGTTAAAGAGTGTGCGTCATTTCTCTTTTTCTAACACATTTTATTCTTTTTTTTTTTTTTTTTTTTGGTTAGAATACAACAGGATTTCTTAAAGGAGACAAACTTATCCACCCTCTCTGGCGTTTTCCCAGCCAAACCTGTAATTTCGTGGCTCGCTGTGATTTAGTCTTAAACAAATTAGCTAAACGGCTACGTTTTGTTATGTCGCAAGGTGGATAAATGGAGGTCCCTGTGCCTAAACTAGCCAGTCACACAAGGGAGGGCTTTATCTCACTGGACCTGCGGTGTTGCGGGGCTGCTGTGCCGTTAGCTTACTTGAAAAGGGCTGTTTTGTTTATTCGGGATCTACCGGGTGGAGTCCTTTCGCATCCACCCATCCCTTACTCACATCCATCGGTGGGCTAATTTCAAACTCGCCAACCTGCTACCTGTTTTCGACCATATACCGAGGCGGTCTGGGCCTACTTAGCAACCATGCTTTTTGACCAGATTTACTCCTAATGCTCTGGGCTCCCCGGGGACTAATTGCCTTATAGAGTCATTAGCCGCTTACTGCTTCCCTCGCACTCCTCTCCTGGTTCAGGTCCCGCTGTAGTAACGCCGCCCGGTCCTCCGCCGCATCGGCCTGCTCCTGCAATGACTTGATTTTCTTTTTCACCGCTTCCAGGGAGCTCCCACCGGCCATTTTTTTGCTCTGTTTGTCTCAGCTAAGCTAGTTTTCTCTCCGTTTTTTGCGTGCTTCCCCACACGCAGACACAAGCACACTTGGAGATGCGGCGCGTTTGATCCCTGCCCCCACCGCCTTTAATCAACCGCTGATGAGGATTGGGACGTGCCACCAACCCCGGAAGTAACTCATTTGACTCGAAAATAGTTGAATAAATTTAGTGAACTGAATATGTGGATCATAATTATTAGTAATGGTCTTTTAAAATATTTATCAAGCCATTTTAATGCTTTTTGGCTACGACAAAACTACATTATGAACCAGTTAGTTTAAGTGCGTCCCCTACTGCTAATTTGAGCTAAGCCTTTCAAAATCACAGTTCCAAACATCAACTTAATCTAAAGACAGCAAGAGAGTGCCTTAAATCACTTATACACACATAATACACACATTATAAGTTTAATTATTCGGACAGTGTTATTAATGTTCTCGATATTCATAATTGTGCTAATTAGACCTGCAGAACTTTGTCTTCCTGCACTAAACTGGCTTAAAGAGCACAGAAGACACCTATGCTCTATTGTAGTCTATAATATTCAAATATATTGCTATGTTTATACCCTGTCATTAAATCAGTCAACATGAGTCTATCTCACGGATGTTAAAAATTTTGTTGCTGCTGCTGACGTCGTCTCTGCTCCTGACGTCATCAATTAGGCTTTATTGGCGTAAGAATGAACGCTGCCAATAAACTGGTAATTTCATCTGGGTTGAGTATAACCGCGGAGTACGTTCTGTGGCCAACAGGGCCACAAATCTGTCAAAATGCACTTCATAATATGCTTGTAAAATACACGACTGAAATCAGACACTGGCCCTCAGATTCGTCCAAATGGTGGTGGAACGCAACGGTAAGCCAGTGAGCTGTGACTTTACCTTATACAGCACAAGAGCTAAATTTAACTATCCATATATTCTTATGAAGCCCACAACTCTCTTATAATTGATTAATGCATAACTTAAGCATTAGGGTGTCTGTTTCATGGCTGGTGATCTTAGTTTCCAGACGGGACTCAAAAGGAGTGTATCAAGGTCATATCATTAGGCAGTGGGTGCGCCAAATGGGTTCCTTCGGCCCAAACTCACATCTGTGGCTTTCTTCTCTGCGAGCTCCAATTTCTCCTGGGCCTCCTTCAGGGCTTCAGAGTATTTGTCCAACTCATCCTCAGTTGCCTTCAGCTTCTTCTGCAGTGCTACCAGGTCATCCTCAAGCTGGTACGCAGAGAAACGAGAAGATTTTCATTTATGTGAGGATGATTTTCTCAGATTAATTCGCAACACAAACAACGCGGAATCAAAACACGCTTTTATTAATTAAAAAAGGGACACACACACATATATATTTGTTACTAAACGAATGAATTTCTATTAAAAGACTATTATTTCTATTAATTATATTAATTACTATTATTTAAGGATTTCTTAAATGATAATAATAATGGATTGATATAGCGCTTTTCAAGGCACCCAAAGCGCTTTACAATAACACTATTCATTCACTCTCCCATTCATACACTGGTGGAGGCAGCTACAGTTGTAGCCACAGCTGCCCTGGGGCAGACTGACAGAAGCGAGCCTGCCATATCGCGCCATCGGCCCCTCTGGCCAACACCAGTAGGCGGTAGGGTAAAGTGTCTTGCCCAAGGACACAACGACCAGGACAGAGAGCCCAGGGATCGAACCGGCGACCTTCCGGTTACAGATGCGATTCCCAACCCCCTGAGCCAAGGTCGCCCTTGAAATTAATATTTATCTCATTGCTTAACAGCATAACTAATGAATAAAGGATCCAACTAGAAATGTGCAATTTCCAATCGTGCCAACCTCATGCAGTCAACATATGGAGTAAAGAAACGCTAAAAGAAAAGTTATTTTTAAGGTTATAATTTAAAAGTGATTTTTTTAATCAAATAATAATCCTCAGTGGGAGATCATCGGAAAGAATCATGCAGCGCCTTGCACAACGTGCCAATGGCACTGCTGCGTAAAAGCATCAGAGCGAGTTTCACACTGGATGCCGACCTGTTTGCTTCTGTCCTCAGATGCTTTCTTATCTGACTCGGCCTGCTCAGCTCTGTCCAAGGCATTCTCCTTGTCGAGCTTGAGCATCTGCATCTTCTTCTTGATGGCATCCATGGCTGGTTAGTGTCGGCGGTCTCTGCGTAAACCAAACAAAAGAAACTGAATGAAGGGATCGGAGCGTCTGAACCACTCTGAACGCCAAGCTGGAGTGCGAGCTCGGTTAGTCTGTAGTGAGTCAAATATGTATTTTGGCTGGGCAGTTACTGGATACCGAATACAGTTTCGGAATGAACTACAGCTGTTTGCCAACGTGGAGACCCTTCTTTTTTTCCTAAATCTCTTCACTGATTCGCTCTTCCGAGACATTTGACCACTTCTATGACTATACATGGGGTACAGACGTCAGGAAGGCACTACCCTCTCACAGCAAGACGTCCACTCCTGTTTCTAACACCTTCCAAGTGGAAGTAAAGTGTCAGGACTCAAAGAGTAGTTCTCTGAGGGGGGTTATTTGGAATAAATGCGTTGGTAATGACGACTCAGTTAGCACCCAGAAGGATAAGCCACAAACTACAATACATGTGAGAAAATGTACATTTAAGACATCAACTGACGTTTATCCTATAATTATTTTAAAACCTACCTTTTTACACAACAGAGCCAAACTGCATCCACCAAACATTTTTAATACCTTTCCAAAGCACTTTTTGGTTGTTTTTGCCTTAAAATTTGCTATATAAATAAATTTTGCTTACTTGCTTACTTAATCAAACATTTTGTTCTGTATCCAGAAATAAACACTTAAAGAATTATGGTACCAGTTCTTGCATCAAAGCTATTCCCACAAAACAAATATATCTGATTGGTTAAGCCCCTGCGAAAGTTTTTCTCCCCTGGAGGGCTGTCATATTAGCCAGTATGGCTTGTTTGCTGCTCAGGGATCATTTCAGCAGCTCCCTTACAACATAGTTCAACATCCAAGCAGCAACCAGATAGGCTTTGCTTTCGGTAGAGTTCTATCATCAAGCCTGTCCAACTCTTCTCTGAGCTAATACATGCAAGATAATTCCAGCTCAGATTTGCCACAGTGGGTACAGTGGTGTGCACATACAGAAGCTCTGGAATTTCAACATCACCCCCTCCCTGCGCCTTAGTGAGAGTTCACACAGCCACTGGCACTGCTGCAGCTGTCACACACAACATACAGTCAGGACGGTTGAGGAATGATATTTTAACCTACTGTTGACTACAGTGATTGATTATTTGCATGTAAGAAGAACTGGACCCGAAAAAGAAAGTTGTGTAATACTGTATGAACATCATTGACCTCGTCTTACATCGTAACAAATAACAAAGCATTCTAAGAATATTTTGTCATCTCCTACTCGCCTTGTCCCTTATGCTATTTGTTGAGTGCATATTTTGGAATCTTGGTGCTTGGACAGCACCTGCTGGACTCTGTCCATGACCCCATACTCTTTACAGTCTGACTTTCAGAAGAGAGGCATCAAACACTTTTTAAACAAGCAAAGCACAAGCTCACCAAATGATTCACTGATACTGTATTTGATAAACCACAATTTTATTATGTGAATGATTGTTAGTTCACATGCTTAAAGAAGAGATTACAAGATCATTAAATAATTATGGTAAAATCTTGATGTTTTTAATTCTCTCCCTTTATCTCTGTGATGTACCTTTGCATTTTATTTTGTTGGTGATCTGGCCTGAAATCCTTCCTGTGGAGCTTTATTAAGGCAAGTCAGCTGTCACTGTGTTGTCATTCTGCCATGTGTTTGTGGACAGTTCAGCAGCCAGGCAGGCATACCAGTCATACACAGAGATCAGAGAGGCTCAGGGTGCAATCCATGTCACCCTAGCACCCTGGATAGATAGAGAGACGAACATCGTCACATTGTACCTGTCCAACAAATAATGATTTCTTCAGGTTAGGTTAAGGGAATTTGAATCATGAGACAGAAATGTATTAATTTGATAATTAAGAATGATGTATTTTTTATTTCTTCTGATTTTAGCAAATATAGCTATTTTCCTCCATGGCCTTGATACACAGACAACATTTTCAGCCATTTTGCTATCAGCCAAAGTGATCATTTTCTTAATCACTTGGGTCCTTTTGACCTTTTGTTTTTACCACCAGACCTAAAATTAGCAGCACCATGGCTCGGTGTTTAGCACTACTCCCTCACAGCAAGAGGTTCCTGGGTTTGAACCTTCTGTGTGGGGGTTTGTACATTCTGTCATGTATGCATGGGTATGCACAAAAAGATGCATGCTCAGTTAATGGTTCCTGTCTGGGTCCAGGACACACATAGATAATTAATCCGAAAAGTTTCAGTTCAAAGAAGACTTTAAAAAAATGTCACTAGTTAAATTATATATTAAATGAGTGCTGTCAAACCTGTTAAATCTTTAAGGCAGACAGGTGTGATAACTGAATCAAACCTCAGTGTTTCCAGAAGTCCCTACATGCAAAGAAGTGCATGGCCTTGTTATCATTATGTCGGAGTCCTGTGAAGAGCCGCATGTGAACTTTAAATGCTGCATGTCTGTGAAGGTTCTCAGTCATCCAAGTCATCGTAGTCAAAGGAGCTTGCAAAGAAAAGCGTCTGGACTTCTTTAGCTTGAAGACGTTTCACCTCTCATCCGAGAAGCTTCTTCAGTTCTAAGGTCAAATGGTGGAGAGTCTGGCTGATTGGGACCCACACCCAGTTTCACACCTTGGCTCAGGCGATTAGAGGATCATCAGGGGGTCCTTTTGTCCCTCTGTGGGGGGGTCACTCCCACTAGGTTTATATCTGGGACTCTCCACCATTTGACCTTAGAACTGAAGAAGCTTCTCGGATGAGAGGTGAAACGTCTTCAAGCAACTTAAAGAAGTCCAGACGCTTTTCTTTGCAAGCTCCTTTGACTTTAAATGCTGCAATTTCATTTCATTAAGTGGTGATTGCTTAAGACCTGTTTGCTGTTGCGAGGCGCTCATAAATCTAAACGCACTATGATTGAAAGATCAGCCGGGCTTATGCGCCATCTTGTAATTGACTTCTTTTATTTATGTACTTTTGTAACGCCAAAGGTATTCAGCAGTGTTTTTACAGTTTGGTGTCAGACCACAAATATAAACTTCGTCACAGATCTGTTGAGACGGCTGTGTAAGGAGCTCCCTGACAAACAAAAATAATAAAATATGGGAGTCTGGTGATGATATCACTGTGAATGTCTAGACTGGAATTTCTCACTTCCTCCTCAATAATTAAAAGATACCCACACATACTGCTGGCGTTTCACTTAAACCTGGTGAGACAAACTTAATGAAGCTCATCAAAAGGGTTTAGACAGATTCACATGTGAGGCCGTGCAAATGAAGGAGTGTGTATGAGTGTGCAGCGTTCTCATCACGGTAATCCATTTTAGTGCATCGGTGGAATAACACCACAAAAACCAGCTGATCTGACCCTAATCTTTTTATTGAAAAGAAAAGGTGAACGTGAGGTAGTGAATGTAGAGAGATGGGATGAAAGAGCAGATGAGAAGAAGGAGATCAAGATGCCGTTTGTCCCCAAGGCACCGCTAACTAACGACGGGTAATCTTACATTGAGCACAACTGAAGCGTCAAGACTTGCTATATAGCACGCTGTAGTCATCAGTAACTGTAGCTGACTTCAATTATAATTAGATTTAGGACATAAAAATAATGGATGAGCTGTCTTCTATCACCTGCTTGTCCACATTAAATGCAATGCCCTCGTCCTTTCAGCCAGGGTTTTTGCTGTCTTGTCCGCAGCCAACAGGGCCTCTTGTTACAAGTCAGACCCACTGTTAACAGAAATGTTTTAGCAGCTACACAGTTTCAGATTTGTGCCAGATAGAAAAACACGAGGTATTTGCTTTAAAAGCTGATTTAGTGAGAAAATATCAGGGAAAAAAGGACTCCAGGTTTTAAAACAGTGCCAGGAGCAGCTGTGTCACTGCAATTGACTTTGCCTCCTCAAATTTTAGTGCTGGACAAATTTAGCATAGGCTTCATTTTATAGTCCAGACTCAATATAGAGTCAGGTTTAGTGCTGACTCAGAAATACCAACTTGTCCTGACACAGACACTTAAAGAGACCTTGTTTGTTCGCCAGAAGTTACCCCTCTTGTTATTCACTTAGAGTGGTTTCACATTCTGCAGCTCCAACATCACACATGGATGCAACAGACATGATGAATCTGATGTTCTACATTATCAGCAGACTGTAAAATTCTGCTTTCTGTAAATATGATATCCCAACATAAAAGTCTTACAGTATGCTGGTAATAAACTTCTGGTAGAGTCCTTATATAGCATGATACTGAACCTCAGTGCATTTTAACTACACACTAAAACGAGTTCTTGACACACAGGATTAAACACTGCGTGGTCAAAGTTGAACGTGATATGTTTAAATTAGAAATTATTATTATAATTATTATTAATGGTCAAGAAGTACACGTACGATCTTATTCTCACCTAATTTGGTTAAAGATATTTTAATTTATGACGCCTTTGATTCAATGTGTGTTCCAGATAAATATTATTATTATTGGCAGAGGGTTTTGCCAGAATAGAAGTGCAATCTTGGCAGCCAGTAATGACCTACATGTGATCAGAGTTCTCAGATATATTCAGAGATAAACCATCAACAAGCTATATGACAAATTGGAGTAACTTCAGTACTTCAGTTTCTTTTCACAATAATCTTGTACTTAACAATTGAAACTAGAGCAAACTTTAGCCCACAAAAAATATTTTTTTGTTTCATAATGCAAATGTTTCTATTGTTACTGAACCTTCCTTTAAACAGTCAGAGAATAGAGATCCAGTGCATTTTACAAAATGTTTTAGTTTCTTTCAATTTTGTCCTCACTAAAAGCCCAAATGGACCGTTTCTGAGGACAGACTTTGGTGTCAGTTGTCTCCAGGAAGCTGCACTTTCAGCATACCAGCGAAAAAAATGTTTCGAATGTGAGGTTTTAGCAGTTGAGGTTAATTCTAAGTATTAAAAGTTTCTTTTTATTTACAAGAATATTGGAAATTATATGCAATTTTAAAAGTCAGAAGCCCTGCATGGTGTAACAATCACTCATGCACTCTGGATATAGCTGCACGCTCCCATGAATTGTGGAGTTTTATTATATCTATCACTCTATATATACACATCTCTCTATATATATAGTCTATATAAAGTCTGCATTTCAGTTACATATTGGCTCTTTGGTTTTGCAACTATACAGAAACTTGCAGATCTGACTGCGTGCACATTACAAGTAAAA